TGGAAGCCTAAACATTGAAGTCTATATGAAACTCACTCACACAGACCAATATCTTCTTTTTGACCCACACCACCCACTGGAACACAAACTTTCTGTTATCAGAACCACACAACAACGGGCCGAAAGTGTCCCTACTAAAACAGTAGGGAAATACAAAGAACAGGAACACATCAAAGATGCTCTCCAGACCTGTGGATACACAAACTGGACGCATGTCAAATAGGCAAGGAAATCCAAAAGACTCAGCAGAAGATAGCGGTGAGAAGATTGAACGCAAAAACATTGGCATGCCATATGTTGCTGGAGTCTCAGAAAAACTCAAGAGGATTTTCTCCAAATCCCAGCAGATTCTAAACCAAACAAGACCCCTTAGACAGAGACTAGTGCATCCTAAAGACAAACCCCCAGACCAAATATAAGCGGAGTGGTGTCTGGACTTCAATGCAGTGAGAAATGCTCTGATTTTTATATTCGAGAAACCAAACAACCTCTCCACAGACGCATGGCTCTGCACAGATGGGCTACCTCTTCTGGACAAGACTCTGCTGTCCACATACACCCTAAGGACAAAGGAAACAGGTGAGAGGAATAAATGATGATTGCGACAGGGAGGGAAAACGGCAGGTGAAAGAAATAACCAATTAAGGTAGAGCAATCAGACCCGATTATAAAAAAAGTAGAACGATTTCACATGGATTTTTTGTCAGTGGTTCACATAACCTAGTAGCTATTGAAGTAAAGTAACATACTTTGCCAAAATAAATAATTAAACATATAAGAAAGAGAAAAATAAAAAAGACGTTCCACATTCATATAAATCTAGTAGCACGATTTCCCATTGGTATTGTTTAAGAGTGCCACAACACAAGAAATTTAGTTTTATATCTCAAGAGTGTTTGGTTCAGAAGCTGTTGATGGACCCTAAAAGAACCAGCGTCAGTGAGACAACTACATAAATTGGATTAACCGCTTGAATATCCAATATAAAGTTTAAAACTATCTTCTCCGCAGTCAGAGGAGTTCCAGTCTTTCTCCTGAGCTAGGTAAATATGCAACTGTAAACATAATCCCAAGGTGAAATGCAGCTTTTTCTGCAATGCTGAACCAGTGCGAGTACAAGCTGCTGCATTAAAGGTCATTTTAAAAACCGGAGAATTCACGTTTGAATTATCATCACAGACCACTGCCTAGCAAATACCAGAAAGGCTAAGATGCTCTTGTTAAGTTTCTGCCTAAAATGCTACGCTGTTTGACGAGTCGGAATGATGATTCAAGATTTTTTTATCTAGATGGTCTTTCAGACCATCTAGATTAAAAAATGCTAAAGATATCTATTTTTGAGATATCTCCAAAAGAATTTTGACTATTCAAAAATAAAATTCCAGACATCTGTACATGTAATGTTGATTTGCCTAATCATTATTTGCTTTAAAGATATCTGCAATTGAATTCCAACTAGACAAATCCTGCTTTAAGATATCTTAAAAAACAGTCAAGATATCTTGAATAGAAGGTAATTTCAGATATAGTTAATTTGATTTATGACTAGTCATAACTCAATTCCGTGCCCGGCGCGAAAGCAGCACAACCCACCCCGCTCCGGCCTCGCACCGGCCACGGGCCGCCGAGAGGAGGATGACCCCCCCCCCGACTGAAGGACGAGGCATGCCCCGACGCCCCGCAGAACAGAAGCACCCCGGCCGGCACCCCAAAAGAACCGATGCCCGGCGCCCAGCCCCACCCAGCAGCAGCACAGCTACCAGGCCAGTAGCCCACGTCCGCCACCACGGAACCCCCCAAGAGCACCGCACAGGGCCGCCGTAGGACCCCCCGAGGCGCCCCAGACCCCGCCCTGACGGGGGCAACAGACCCTAGGGCTAGACCCGCCAGGCACCCCGCTCCGAGCACCCCCCCGAGCCCCCCAGGACCCAAGGACCCCCAAACCAGCCCCCGCGCCCCATAGGACGCACCCCACAGCCCCCCACTACACTAAGTGATGGAGCTGATCAAGGGAGCCCAGAGAGATCGGTCTGATGGGGATGCAGATGCTGTCTCAGGATTAATATGATCCAACAACAGATCTCTGTACTGATTGATGCTGAGTTTATCCTTACTTTTCCAATTCATGAGGATAGTTTTTTTTGCGATACATAATGTAGTGAAGGCCATGCAAACTGATTTTTCCCCCTCAAAGTCACCCAGCAAGCAAACTGAAGGGGAAGGTGAGATTCTACAACCCAGGCACAGTGATAAGTCCTTACATACCTGTACCCAGAACCTCTGAACCGGCGTGCATAACCATAACGCGTGAAAATAATTATCCAGATGATTGGCTGTACACTGTGGACAGATGTTAGATTGTGCAAAACCCATCTTGAATAATCTTTGACCTGTATAGTGCACTCTGTGGAGGATTTTGTATTGTATTAATTGTAAATTGGGGTTTCTAGTCATGTTAAGAGTTCTTAGACATATCTGAGCCCAGATGTTTTGTTCAAAGCTGACTGATAAATCCTCCTCCCATTTAGTAATAGGAAGAGATATTGTATCATCCAGTTTAGTCAGTGTCCTGTATAACTTAGACAGTAGTTTGGGGGGTTTAACTCTAGAAACTCTGATATATTAGTTGGAATTCGTAAACCTCCATCAATATGCTTAAATTAATTTCTAATTATAGCTTTAATTTGCTCATATTCTAAGAATTTATTTTTGTTAATGCCATATTGCAAATTTAATCTAGCAAATTTGATAAACTCCGTACCTTCAAACATACAGAAATACAGATATCTTAATTAACTACTATGTCTACTCAAAAACCAATTTAGGATATTTTGAATGTTGTGTGGCAACACTGGGGGGCGTAAAGGAAGACCAAATCGCAAAATGGTTTCTCAAATGGCTCACCTGGGGCCAACAAGGTAGTCCACACTATTGCACAGTCCTTGTAGGTATTAGCTTGCTGTGTAGAGTTAAATTTAATTTATCAGTCCATTTAATCAGATTTGTTGATCAGAAATATTTTTATTTATTTATAACTTTAATTAATTTACAAAATGAGCAGTGAAGAAGAAAATGAAAATGCTGTTTGGCTTATTTAGTTTATTTATTTGTCAAGAAATGCAGCGTTATTTTGAAAATGAAAACACATTTCTATTAATGCACTTTAATTAGATAATTGAGACATATTTGCTTCTCTACTTTATCAACATCGGTTAGAAGCTGGGATTTAAAGAAGCTCCTCAAATCATCTTAACTGACTGACAGCTGCTGCCTTTAACAAACACGTGTTGTTTACTTTCCCAGGGCTATAATGATTTTACTTGTATGGTTGACATTTTTCACTTAAAATTTCTGAAATCATACAGTCCTGCAAAGGTTTTATTCTGGAATAGTGTAACCCATTTATAAATCTATTTTATATATATTTTGTATATATTTTATTTTTGTTAATTTGCTGGAAAAGCATTATTTTCAAACTTCATCCCTACTTTATATCCAATTGAATGCTGTCAGTGTGCATGCAAATAAAGTTTTAAAACATCAAATTTTCTTTTATTATGAAAAAAATGAATGCCATTTGTAAAGCTCTAGTTGAAAAAAAAGTTACAAAACTATTTAAATATAAACAAAAAAAGAAAAGTTAATCTCAAAACATTTTTTTTGACTAAGCAGCATTTCAAATGTTTATTTCTGGAGTGCATTTTTATAAAATGTCTTTTTATAAAACTTTCTGTCATGATTGGATTTAAGGACTTAGCCCACATGCAGAACACAACGGAGTCTGAAGGAAAGTTTAACAAGGTTTATTGAAAGATGTACAATGATATAATGCTGGATCTGGTTCTGGTACTGGTCCGGGACTGGTCTCAGAGTTTCTGGAGAGATGAGAGTTTGGTTAGCCAGGCTGATGATGGATTGATTGAGAGAAGAATCAAGATGTACCTTGAGGAGATTGTAACAGAGCCGTGAGGTGAGATACCGTAGGTCCAGAGTCAATGATGTGGCAGAGAGTTTAAGCAGCAGCAGCGTCTAGTTCCGAGCTAGAAGGTTTCTGGCTTGGGTTTGTTCCTTGCTCTATCCAAGAGCTGAAGAAGGAATCCAAACTGAGATCTTCAGGTTTGGCTTTCATGAGCAGGCAGGTAGGTTTCTAGGTGGAGCTCATCCAGAGCTTCAGGGTTTCCTGTGAGCACAAAAGACAAAGGCGATTAGAAGACTAGTTCCTCTCTAGAGTCTACTAGTAAAGTTCAGACGTTCTGAGGCTCAGGTTCGCTAACCAAACTAGGTCAACACTCCTGCGTCGAAATAAAGCCAAAGTTGCCAAATTAGAAAGAAGAATGCTTTTGTTCTTTCTAAAACTAGACTAAAACCTTTTTTAAGTTTTAGTCGACTAAAACCGTCTAAACGATCAAATATCGTAATTACTAAAATGTGACTAAAACTTATAACACTTTTCATCCTAAAGGCTAAGACTAAGACCTAATCTAAAATGGCTGTCAAAAAATACTGCTCCCTATTAATATTTAATTCTCTCTGAAAAAGTGCCGATCATTCTTTAATAAGATCCTTGTCAAACGGACATGCAATGTTTGTCTTTAAAACCTAATGTCACTAATGGACATAATGAATTATATATATCTAATATATATATATATATATATATATATATATATATATATATATATATATATATATATATATATATATATATATATATATATATATATATATATATATATATATATATATACACTGCCTGGCCAAAAAAAACTCGCCACCAAAAAAACAGGTCACTCACTCTAATATTTTGTTCGACCGCCTTTAGCTTTGATTACGGCACGCATTCGCTGTGGCATTGTTTCGATAACTTTCTGCAATGTCAAGATTTATTTCCATCCAGTGTTGCATTAATTTTTCACCAAGATCTTGCATTGATGATGGTAGAGTCTGACCGCTGCGCAAAGCCCTCTCTAGCACATCCCAAAGATGTACAATGATATAATGCTGGATCTGGTTCTGGTACTGGTCCGGGACTGGTCTCAGAGTTTCTGGAGAGATGAGAGTTTGGTTAGCCAGGCTGATGATGGATTGATTGAGAGAAGAATCAAGATGTACCTTGAGGAGATTGTAACAGAGCCGTGAGGTGAGATACCGTAGGTCCAGAGTCAATGATGTGGCAGAGAGTTTAAGCAGCAGCAGCGTCTAGTTCCGAGCTAGAAGGTTTCTGGCTTGGGTTTGTTCCTTGCTCTATCCAAGAGCTGAAGAAGGAATCCAAACTGAGATCTTCAGGTTTGGCTTTCATGAGCAGGCAGGCAGGTTTCTAGGTGGAGCTCATCCAGAGCTTCAGGGTTTCCTGTGAGCACAAAAGACAAAGGCGATTAGAAGACTAGTTCCTCTCTAGAGTCTACTAGTAAAGTTCAGACGTTCTGAGGCTCAGGTTCGCTAACCAAACTAGGTCAACACTCCGGCGTCGAAGGAAGGTCTGGCAGCTGCTTAAGTAGTGTGGACCTCTGATGAGCTGATGATCTCCAGGTGTGTAGAGATATCAGCTCAGGAGGCCCACAGCGCTCTCTGCTGGAGATCAAGTGGCAGATCTCTGGATCCTGACACTTTCCTTGCTTGCAATAATAAAGGATCAAAATTCACTTCATACTGTTGACATGTTGGTTCCTCATGATATTAAGTCTGCATAAATTTAAAGGTACAAAATGGAGAGTAGTTCACGTATGTGTTTGAAATAAAACTACTTCTGTAAGGTTTTATTATGAGTGCGCCCTTTTGCCAGAATTCTCACTTCATTTCCAGCGTTTTTTATTTATCTATTTAATGTTGTCTTTACACCGTCACAAGTACTCAGCAACGAAATTAACTCTCTGCTTTTAACCGATCCCCTTGGGGAGCAGTGGGCTGCCATTGTGCGGCACTCGTGGAGCAGTGTGGGGTTAAGGGTCTTGCCCAGGAACCCAGAGTGGCAGTGTCCAGTGTGGAAATGGGGCTAGTACTCAGAACCTCAAAATTCCAAACGCAATGCCCAACCACTAGGCCGCCACTCCCAAAGCAGGCATTAGTGTGAAGGGTCTTGCCAGCTGGGATACGATCCTTCATATTGAAGGTTCTTAGATAAACAAGAGTTGACTTCATGTTCTTTACATACCGAGATAAAAAAACTCCAAGAACCTTTAGTATAGTTAAAGTAAAATTATAACAGTGTCAAGTTGTCATAGCAACAGCAATAAGCCATCTGTTTGCATCTGTCGGCTTGTATATCAATGCATGACTCCATTAGTGATCATGTCAATGCTTACAAATAGCCTGAGAGCAAATTCACAGAAATAAGAGCAAATTCTTTCGGTTTCTTAAGCAGAAATGGAAAACATTGTTAAATTTCCTGTTTTGCTTACCTGCAAAATGAAACCTGTCCAGAAAAATGGAAAACAAAGTTATTAGTTATGCTCTTAATATCAACCTAATTTCTGGAAAAGCAAATAAGAGGAACCGTAAGCCCAAATGACATGTGTGATACGTTATTTGAAAGCTAATACCTTCTAGTTTCTGAATACATACACATGAACATTGGGTGGGTAAAACACCCAAGCTGCCTTTCTTTTTAATCTAAAAAATAATAGGTCTTTTTTGAACAGCAGTAATAAGGACATGCTTGCTTGTTGTGGCTGCTTTGTCATGGTACATTTCGACATCCTGCTATAATTGTGCTTCGGTGCTCGTTATGTCCATAAAATGAACTAGGTGGTTGAATTGTGGAGAATCTAAGCTTTCCAACAATGTCTAACATGTCTATATTGGTAAACAGTTTACCAGTGTAATTTCCATGCATCCTGAGTTATTATTTGTAAATGCTTTAAAGCGACTCGGTCGGTTTTGAGAGGTTGAATCGCCTCATCAAAAACCAACAGATCATACCACAATGTGTTGCTAACATATACATTTTTTCTTTTAGTTTATTGAATCAGTTATTTTGAACTTTAACAAAAGGGTTCTAACACTTAAAGCATGTGTTATGTGCGTCGGGCACATTGATTATTTTTGTTTCTTTTTTTTCCCTTTTAGTGTTGCATAGACCTTAGTTGAGTCACTTAAATTTTAGAGTTGATAACTAGCCTATTTATTTTTTCTTTTGTAAATTATTCGATTATGTTCATTTATTGTGATATTGGTCCGCCTATAAGTAGGCTGGGTTTCCCTCCTCTGGGAACCTTCTGATCGAGCCACCGTCACAAAGAGCGCGTCCAGACGCGATGCGCACGTCTCCCGTCTTTGTAGGCCGCCGCTGACCTCTCCAGCCTGCCATGCGGTATTTTTTTCCGTTAGCCTTTGTTTTTTGCTGATTTTTTGTAACTTTGACCTGGTAGGACCGGTTGTCCTGTTTTCGGGTTTTTTATATATATTTTTATTAGTTTTTCCGTTAGTTCATTACTAGCAGAGACTTCGACGGCCCTGTCAGTGGCGCAAAAACCAGGTATGCAGCGCATGCAACGTATAGGGGCGCTGCACTCGAGGGGGCGTCAAAAAAACCCTCTAATAAATACATTTTTCTAGTTGTCACTTTCTATATTTAACAGCATAAAACGATCAATAACAGAGAGACAGCACTGATTATGCGCCCCTCTGATGCGCCCCCACTGAATATGCGCCCCCTTCACCTCCCCTCCTGTCGCTCTCCCTTCCCACACAGGTGGCTTGCGCACGCGCCCCTAAGAGGCGCACTCAGGCACGTTTTTTTTATTTAAATTTTTTTTATCTTCGACTACCACTCGTAGTGCACACTTAACAGCAAGATGGAGCGCCAGAAAAAAAAGAAAAAAAAAACTATCCGGCGCAAAACAGAAAAAGAAAAAAGGGAGAAGGATAAAGTTGTTGGCGGGATGAAAAAAAGCCTTTTAATGTGGTTGAAAGACAGTAGGTAAGTTCTGTCAGTGTATCAACAACAGGACAGGAGGGTTGTAAATATTCAGGTCAGATAAAGCTAGTCTGATACGGAGTCGCCCCATATTTGGCTGTTAAATGTTGCGTCCCCTTTTGAAGCGATAAGGAACGCGATTTGTTCCGTATTTCTAGGAATATCTGATACATACGCCTGTAACACACATATATCCACACACTAAGTGTAAGAATGACCGAAATAAAACTTGTGAAATATTAACACAGGAAAGCTAAAATGTCTTGGCCAGTGCCCAGCTATGGTCCAACGCTTAGCTGCAATTTATTCACTCATAAGTTTCTTATTATTGATTTTTTAAATTAAAGATGAGTTGTACAAGTTTATGAATCAGACACGTGAATCCAGTGTCATTATAGCCCTTAGACTCGGTGACCCATGTTACCAACCTTTTTGGCAGGGGGACACTTGAGTTTAAATGTTTTATTCAGTATCACTACAGTGGTGTTGTGATGTATCTAAGTCAGATCAGATGCAGTGTCCAGTCAGTAACTGTTATCCAACAAGAAGATCATTAAAATTTAAATATTAATTTTTATTGTAGTTTGACGGCTGTATTTTTTAACCCTACTTAACATAAAATTTATTTAATTCAGCTGTGAGGATGGAGAGAAAGAAGAGAAGATGACAGAGGAAGAATCAGGACAGACAGGGGAAAGCAACAGGTTGGTCTAATATTAGGTGGAAGTGAGGGAACAGCTACTTAATCCCAATCGATAATGTTTAAACATTTTTAAAAACTGTATTAAGATCTGTAATTTTTACAACTAATTTATAATGCTTTTTGACCATATGACTTAGTGGAGAACGCCACAGACAAGGGGTGAAGGAGACAGACATGAGGTCGGTGATAGAAGAGACAAGTGAGGACATCAGGTGGGAATAAATACATTAGGGAGGCAGCAAAAACATATATACCATAATGGTTTGAATTCCTGATGACCATCTCTCATTCTGTTCTTTTTTTGGAAAATTGGAAGAATGTGGAACAGAAAGGTGCAGATGAGGGAGAGGAGCAGAGAGGACCAGATGATGAAGAGGGAGAGGAGCAGAGAGGTTCAGATGATGAAGAGGGAGAGGAGCAGAGAGCTGCAGAGGAGAGTGCTGAGACAAGGCTTTATTCAGAACATCCATCTGTATGGCCTTTACCACACAAAATGTGGGACATATTTAGGCAGTACATGGTTGAAAATGGCCAACCGAAAGTTTCTGATGGCCCATATCCAAGAGCAGAGAAGAGTAAGAGGTGTTTTTCCAAAGGATACTTTTTTCGTTTACTGTCTAATGGAGAGAAAGTTGAACGAGATTGGTTACTGTACGGGGGGTGGGGGGCGCCTATTATGTGTTTCCGCATCCACCTCAAAAATATGTAGTTGCGCCCCTGGGCCCTGTATAGGGTTGGCCCACTGCTGTACCGTTTTGTTGCTTTGGATCGGCTCACCAGGTCCAACTTTCTGTTCATACTTTGGGTTTTTTTTTTCTTAGAGTTTTTTGTAAAAAACATGGGGAACTGGGGAAAAATCTGACTCTCTTTTTTTTTTTGTCTCTTTGCAGAAAAACAAAACAACTGATCTAAAAAGAAGTTCCAGAGATTAAGAATAAAATAATTCTTTTGAACCCCATGTTTGTCTCGTGTCCTCAAATATGTTGTGGCCTGGGTGGTCGTAACAGCATGCCTGCAGTGTGCAACCACAACAACAGTGAAAGAATGGGCTGAATTTAGGCGTTTACTTCATTCCAGTGTGGTATTATGGTGAGATATTCTCTGTGCTTTGCATCCATTTGTGAGAGTCACAAAACCCTGATAAGTAAAAACTCTATGTTTGATGCTGTAAGGTGATAAATAAGAGGTTTCATCTGGAAAGAGAGTATATGTATGTATATATCTGTCATCTTCAGTGTTTCTCACTTATGGCAGACCCATGTCACAGATTTCTTTTCCCCTCTCACAGATAATTTCTCTTCCCAGAACTTCTCCTTGTGATCTTCCTCCGCTCAGACATGAGATTCCAGGAAAAGACAACAAATCTACCAGTGGAGCGCACAAACAAGTCATAAGGATCAGGAATGTACATCCACTTCACTGAGCACATGAAAATGGATGATGACAAACACTCACAAAGAGGAAAGAAGGTGCCGACAACTGGAACATTTAGTTGAATGGAGCTCATTTAGAAGAGACGGCCTTTTTGCTTCCAACCTGCTTATGTGTGCGTTAGTTTATGTGTCTGGGTGTGTGTAGCTGGGTGTGTAATTGTGTTTTCACCATGCAGAGCTCTGGGAATAAGATACTATTACTTTAGCGAGTCCATGAGAGTCAGTGTAAATATTGACAGAGAGAAAAGATAAGATATGTGTAGAGATATGAACCCTGAGGGGGTTGTGGATTGATAATTTAATGGTTTCCCTTGGAGAGGAGATTGGATCAGGAGTAAAGAAAGAAGGGTGGGTTTTAGAAGATTAGGAAGGGAAAAGGTGGGATTTGAACCCCTCGTTTCCATAGCAGCATAAAGCTTTACAAATAGACAAGCGT